TTTTTCTTCCATGGCCTCTACATACCCTTCCCTACCCTGCTGTGCAGGGACAGTGGTGTGACTGGCAATGGTGGTTTATATTGCCATCTTGATTGGTTTCAATTTCTTGTTATCCCGCCCTCACGAGCTCCACAAACCATCCAGGTGGGTTTGTGTGGTTCATATCAGCAGACACGCTGGAGTTGGTGGCAGGGCTTAGAAAAAGCATTTAAAGAGACCTCCAAGCAGCACTGCAAAAACCATTTAAAGGGATACCTTTAAATGGTTTTTGCAAGCTGTGCTGCTGTGGTGGCAGCACAACAGTTGACTCTCTGAGTCATGCCACAGTTTGCAAGCCATTTCAACATTTCAGTGATTCTTCTCACTGAAACGCCTTGTATTTTGGGTTGAAATAGATGCAAGCCATTTCAGCAATCCCTTTTGCTCCCTCCCACCTCCACTTGGAAGTGGAGGGTGAGTGAAAATGATGGCTGAAATGGCTTGCAAAAGCTATTTAAAGGGAATATTCCCTTTAACTAGCTTTTGCAAGCCATTTCAGCATTTCAGTGATCCCTTTCACTCCCCCCCAGTGAAAGGAGCAAAAGGGATCACTGAAATAGCACGTTTTCTCCAAGCCTGGAGTTGTGTGGGTTGTTGTTTTTTGCCATCTATTCCGCAGGTTAGGAAAGGCACAAACAGGTATAGGAAAAAGCCTGCACGGTTAACAAACAAAGTAATGGAAGCTGTAAAAGGTAAAAAGGATTCCTTTAAGCAGTGGAAAGCTAGTCACAATGAGGTTGATAAAACAGAACACAGGCTATGGCAAATAAAATGCAAGTCTGTGGTCAGGCAGGCAAAAAGGGAATATGAGGAGCTTATAGCAAAAAACGTAAACACCAACAATAAAACTTTCTTCAAATACATTAGAAGCAGAAAACCAGCCAGGAAGGCAGTGGGGCCCTTGGATGACAGAGGGGTAAAAGGAGTACTGAAGGATGATAGGGAAATGGCTGAGAAGCTAAATGCATTTTTTTGCCTCAGTCTTCACTGTGGAAGATGAGAAGTGCTTGCCCACTCCAGAACCTCTGATTTTGGGAGGGGTGTTGAAAGACCTGAGTCAGATTGAGATGATGAGAGAGGAGGTCCTAAAACTGATAGACAACTTAAAAACTCATAAATCACCAGGCCCAGATGGCATACATCCGAGAGTTCTGAAAGAACTCAAATGTGAACTTGTGGATCTCCTGACAAAAATATGTAATCTTTCCTTAAAATCTGCCTCCATTCCTGAGGACTGGAAGGTAGCTAATGTCACTCCCATCTTTAAAAAGGGTTCCAGAGGAGATCAGGGAAATTACAGGCCAGTCAGTCTGACATCGATACCGGGTAAATTGGTGGAAACCGTTATTAAGGAAAGAATTAGTAGGCACATAGATGAACAAAACCTATTGAGGCAGACTCAGCATGGGTTCTGTAATGGAAGATCTTGTCTCACTAACCTGTTAGTGTTCTTTGAGGGGGTGAACAAACATGTGGACAAGGGGGATCCAATAGATATTGTTTACCTTGACTTCCAGAAAGCTTTTGATAAAGTTCTTCATCAAAGGCTCCTAAGTAAGCTCAAAAATCATGGGATAAAAGGACAAGTCCTTTTATGGATCAAAAACTGGCTAATTAATAGAAAACAGAGAGTGAGTATAAATGGGCAGTTCTCTCAGTGGAGGGGGGTAAGCAGTGGGGTACCGCAGAGATTAGTACTTGGTCCACTGCTTTTTAACTTGTTCATTAATGATCCCTCTCACTTGGAAGTGGGGTGTGTGTGAAAGGGATCACAGAAATGGCTTGCAAAAGCCATTTAAAGGGAACATTCCCTTTTGCAAGTGGGTGCCGTGGCCAAGTGAAGTCCAAGTGGTGAATTCACCCAGGACTGGTGAAGTCCTCTCTTGGACTTCACTCGTGTGTGGCGTCCACTTGCAAAAGCAGAATGTTCCCTTGAAATGGCTTTTGCAAAATCTTCCCCCCCTTCCATTCTGCTAGCCTGGGGTAGCCACCGCCAGCAAAAAGGAGGGAGGGAAAATCCATGAATCTCCATTTTCCCGGTTCTTTCCCATTCCTAGTTATAAGAGGAAGGAGGAGAAAGCACCAGAGAGAGGCCATTATGGAGAAAAGCAGACGCCACACACACAGCAGCACACACAAAGTTGGGATCACGGAAGAATCCAGCACTTCTACGCAGGAGCTGAAATGTTTGCTGAAAGTGTCCTTGCCACTGAGTGCCTATACAGAAGAGACAGCTAGTGCCTGGTACTGCATCTACACGGATTTTTAGTTCTTGGAATTAAAAAAAAAAAAAGATGAAGCACTCTACTGAAGCAGCCTTCTTATCTAAAAGTGGACATTTAATGGAGATTTCATGTGAAATGAAAGTGAAAGTGAAAAGAAGCTTTGTCGTCTCCCTCCAACAATGTTTTCTAGTAAACGCTTTAGTTAACAGTCTACAAAAGGCAAGGTCACCTTTGCACTCTGCAGCTGAGTCAATATATACAGTCAAGAGGCACACATGTGAAGGATGGGCCTAATATGCCTCTTAGGTAGCTTTGACAGGGCTGAACTAGAGAGAAAAGTCCAGTCACTTTAGTCTATACGAAGGGCAGCCATTTCTCTGAGGACTTTCACAGAGGTTTAAAAATGACAGCATCCTCAGCTGGGACTTGTCTAGCCTGATACCATCTGCTAAAGGATTTTTTTAAAATCCAAAAGCACAATTAAATTAAATGAACAGACCCTCCAGATACATTTATAAAGAAAAATAAAGCCTCTGACTTCTGAGATAAAAGGTTATGTTTGCTAAAACCCTGAAGGTAGAATAAAGTGGTAATTGAGCAACAGGCTATGTATACCACGGTACCCTTGAATGCCTCCTTCATTTCAAAATGTCTTGGCTCAGCAGAGCAAAGGAGGTGAATACACATAACTGTGTACTATTCAGGTTTATGTAAGATTACATAGAAAGCGGGGGGGGGGGGCAACGACACCATCCTAAACTCAGCAAAACCAAAGAGCTTAGAATCTCTCATATAGCAGAATCCCCCGCCAACGGCCACAACTGGGTAGAAGCAGCTTTAATACAAAGCACGCTTTCTGGATAAAGTAATAAGATCTTATCTGCAAGCTGATCTCATGCCTTTATTCAGGCTGATATTCCCTTGGGAGGTGGAAACCATAGACCCACCAGAAAAACATTTTTTTAAAAAAAATTAAAGCTAGCCCTTGCTAGTAGACCTGCCCAAACACTGTTTTCACAAGATTAGCTCATTTCCAAATCCCTGGTACTATTTTTGGCATCCAAACCTACCTACATCTGCCAACTCTTCTTAAGTGACAGTTCACTGAAATTCACTCTTGTTTTACAGCTACTTCATCTTGCTCTAATGGTTTCATGACTACGTTGAGTACTTGGACAATTTATTCGCATTTCATCATTCAAGTGCTGCTTTTTGACAGGGTAGCGAAAGTTTCTACGGAATCTGAGAGGGCTTTGTCAGAAAGAGTCCCCATACATACAGCAACCAACTTTGAAAAGTATTATAAGACTAGACATATACCACCAGTTTTCTAAAACCCTGCCAAGAGTCTGTATATTAGAATACAATGATTTTTACAGGGCTCTTTTTGTAGCAGGAACTCCTTTGCATATTAGGCGACATACCCCTAATGTAGCCAATCCTCCAAGAGTTTACAGTAGCCCCTGTAAGACGAGCTCTGTAAGCTCTTGGTTGATTGGCTACATAAGGGGTGTGTCGCCTAATATGCAAAGGAGTTCTTGCTAAACTGTGAGGACTCACGGGATGGATCCTATTCCCCATACCAGTTCCAACTTTCCCTCCTTCCCTGGCTGTCTTCTGCTCCATTCTCTGTGTCCACTGACCCCCCTCCCCCCAGTTTCCCCACACCGACTCAGTGCTCCCTCCTTTGGCCATCCTTGAGAAGGGAGGGGGGAAACCCCATTCTCCACATACACTAGCCCTGCTCCTGTCGCTTGAGAATGCCAAGTCCTCTGACTGGTGTAAAGTGTTGTGGGAAATCTCTCCAAAGTTGTATTGCTTTCTACCAAGCATCTTGCTCTAGGTATATTGTCTGATGCCTGGGGAAGGACATTACACCCTTCTCCTGATTCCCTGGTACACTGTTCCAAAGGTTGGCATGGTTGAGTTGCTCTGATAACCTAAAACAGCTTTTGAGAACTTGAAAGGCATTTTTGTCAGATCTCTGGTATCAGAGCCCATTTTGTTGTGTGGTGTCTGTGCTTGCAGATAAATTTTCATTCAGCTTCAGATGTTTCAGCAACATCTGAAGGTCCTTTAACAGGCTGTCACATTGAAAACATCAGAGGCACCTATTGAAAGCATCTCGCTTTGGTGCCTAACTGAGGTCTCATTACTAGAGCAAGTCCACAGCTTAAATTGTAGCTGCTTAACAATAGCTTTATGTAAGCATATACGATGATCGACAAGCAACGGTTCACTAGTGCACAGTTTCCCCATATTGTTCATTTACAGGAAATAAACATTTCAGGCACAAGAGGGAGAGAAAGATGGCAAAACAAGGAGACTCCATCCTTATCTTGTTTCCCTCAGGGCTGCTGAAAGCTGACACTGCTCCAGACAAAGGCTGCATCCGCACATCCATGGATGTTGTTTTCTCATAGCCATTCGCCTCCTGGATCTTCCTATCCAAAGACACATGGATCCTACCAAAGTTTCCCTTGAGACCCCCTTCATATTCAGAAAAACACACAAAAGATGTTCAATTGGAATAGGTATATTGCTACCATCCATCAGCGGAACCTTGTCAGGCATCTAGAGGCCCCAGAACTTTGTACCCATAGACCCTCCTTCATGGTGGTTCTGGTACCCCTTCTCCTCCTACTCATGTATGCATCTTTCTCTCGCCTGCCCTTCACTTTCTGAAATATCTGTTACTGACAAATGGATGAAGGGGGGAGGAGAACAGGCTTTTACCTTGTGGATGAGGCTGGAATCTCCCTGGTTACTGTCTTCATCTCCAGAACTTTTCTGTTCCTCATCTGATGTGACATCCTCAATGGGAATCACAGAGATAGGGCACACTTTGTAAGGCTCTGTGTAGGCACTGTAAACAAAGAGAACAGGTTATCCTATGGACGCTGTCATGGTCATGGACATTAACACCAAATTAGCTGTTTGTGACAAGTTTAGTAAATATGAATTCGGATTGTCATCTTTATTATCTTTGTGCAAGGTCTAAGACCCATGTTATCTATTCATCTATCCACTGCTTTTTAACTTGTTCATTAATGATTTGGAGTTGGGAGTAAGCAGTGAAATGGCTAAATTTGCGGATGATACAAAGTTGTTCAGGGTGGAGAAAACCAGTGAGGATTGTGAGGCACTCCAAAGGGATCTGTCAAGGATGGGCAAGTGGGCGTCAACATGGCAAATGGGGTTCAATGTGGCCAAGTGCAAGGTGATGCACATTGGAGTTAAAAATGCTCAATATAAATACACATTGATGGGGTCTGAACTGGCAGAGACTGATCAAGAGAGAGATCTTGGAGTTGTAGTAGATAACTCACTGAAAATGTCGAGACAGTGTGTGACTGCAATAAAGAAGGCCAATGCTATGCTGGGGATTATTAGGAAGGGTATTGAAAACAGATCAGCCAATATCATAATGCCCCTATATAAATCCATGGTGTGACCTCATTTGGAATACTGTGTGCAGTTCTGGTCACCACACCTTAAAAGGATATTATCGCTTTGGGAAATGTACAGAAAAGGGCAACTCTAATGATAAAAGGGTTGGAACACTTTCCCTATGAGGAAAGGTTAAAGTGCTTAGGGTAGGCTTGCCAAGTCTTCTTGCCAGAGGCCCGTTCCCCGCCGCCGGCAGATCGGGCCCCGGAGGGAACCCCACCCCGACGTGCACGTCACCCGGAAGTGACGTGACGACGCGGGGCATGCTGGGGGCAGGGCCATGGGCATCCGAGGGGAAACTCTATGGTTTTCCCTCCGATGTTCATGGCCCCGCCCCCAGCGTGCCCCGCATCGTCACGTTACTTCTGGGTGATGTGCAGGCGTAAAGCGCGCGGGCGCTCCAGATGCAACCCGGGAGTACCCTGCTCAAGGTAAGAAAGCACTTGGCAACCCTAGCTTAGGGCTCTTTAGCTTGGAGAAATGACGACTGAGGGGAGACATGATTGAGGTTTATAAGATTATGCATGGGATAGTGCAGGTAGAGAAAGAGGTACTTTTCTCCCTTTCTCACAATATAAGAACTCGTGGGCACTCAATGAAATTGCTGAGCGGTCGGGTTATAACGGATAAAAGGAAGTACTTCTTCACCCAAAGAGTGATTAACACATGGAATTCACTGCCACAGGAGGTGGTGGCAGCTACAAGCATAGACAGCTTCAAAAGGGAATTAGATAAGCATATGGAGCAGAGGTCCATCAGTGGATATTAGCCACAAGGTATAGATAGGGGCTCTGGGGCAAGTGATGCTCTGTCTTCTTGGAGTTTGAGGGGGGTCAACAGTGGGAGGGCTTCTAATGTCCTGGCCCCACTGGTGGACCTCCTGATGGCACCTGGTATTTCTGGCCACTGTGTGACACAGAGTGTTGGACTGGAGTGGCCTTTGGCCTGATCCAACATTGGCGTTTCTTATGTTCTTATCTGTAACGGCTCACGTGGGGTGTCACCTGACGCTGCCACCACTCTGGAATTAGGCCCCCTTGAGAAGGCCCAAAGCACCCTTCCAAGACCTTCAGACCTCTCTTTTGGCCGAATAATAGGCGTGAGGACCAGGCAAAGTAACCAATGAAAATAATTTATTTTATAGGAGGTCAAACAAACAAGGTGCAGGAATAGTAACAGTAAGTAGGTGAAAAGAAAAGAAATCAAATGCCTTAATGCATCCAAATATATACCGTCCCTAGCTCACTATCTCAAGGGGCCTTAGACTACACATCCTTCCCTCAGGATGAAGGTTTCTTCCCACAGCAGCCTTCCTTCTGGCTCTGCCCTCTGGGAAGAAGAACAAGCTTTCCCTGTTGTACCAGTTCTCTTATTCCCCAGCCCTCTTCTTCCTTATTGGTCAAAATCGGCACCAAAACTTCCCAAGGCCTTCTTGGGTTTGTAGGCCTAGCCTCCCTTGCTGCTAGCCAGGCTCCCTGGGCCTAGTAGGCCTCTGGTGGCACAGCCCAGATCATGACACCATCCATCCAAATCCAAAGCAAATCAGTCTTCTATTATGGATAAAGTAGCTGAGGTATCTGTGTGGTATTGGACTGATGGAAGAGAGAGGACAGGGCAATTTCACATCCTTTAGTATAGTCTCCCTACCTCTGGTTTAAGGGGAGTTTTGCCCTCAAACCAGAGTACCATGCAGCAATGTCCCCAACATGATGACATCACTTCCATGTGACGTCATTGCGTCTGGCAATTCTGTTCCTCATATCCTCACAATCACTCTGTGAGGTAAGTTAGGTTGAGAAAGAGTGACTGGAAGCAAGGGACAAATCCCTCCTGCGGAAGAAACAGGAGTATATGTATAATAGGTGCTGACGTGGTTGTAGTTAAGGCCTACAGGTACAAATTGTATAATATGTAAATAAACTTGTTTAGTTCCTTCATAAGACCGTGGGACCAGTTCTTTGCCAATCTGGTTGATCTTTCTAAGCCCTATTAGAATATGCCCTTCTCCAGCACCATTACTTGCAGGGGTCGTTTCCTGCAGGAGCGCACAGGAGCAGAGATCCGGCAGTAAAAAGCCCAGGGGGCGGGCACATGCAACAAGCCCCGCCCCCTGCTCCCAGCAGCCCTGGGCCACAAGGAGCAAGAAGCAGCCAGGTAAGTTGCAGTGGATGTGGCCTTCTGACACACTTCCGGTGATGTCAGGGGTGTGTGGGATATGCAAATAAGTTATGCTAATGAGTTATGCTAATGAGCTCCTGCACCTCTTTTTCTACGAAATGACCCCTGATTACTTGTATCCCTTTCAGCTACCTCATGACTGCTCTTAAGGTAAAATTACAGTCTAGAAGTTCCAATCACAGAACTATACCTCTGCAAGTTGTTTGACCCTGGGTGGAAAACCTTCAATGAGTAAGCAGTGTAAGGCCCAGCTGCTTTCAGAAGACATTTTCAGTTGTGTGAGAAGTGACCACAAATCCACTTGAAATTAACCCCCTTCCCCCCCTCAAAAAAAAGGAGACTGCAAAAACCAGCTCTAAATTTCTGGTTTATAAGGAGTCTGAGCTGAAACTGTAGTCAATGGATTTTTAAAAATCTTACTCCAAGAAAGTCCTGGACTAATCATGTAATACCTCAGGTAATAGCTCATAACAATTGTTAATGATGTCGGTAGTACATGATGAGGCCATAATGGCTTTAAAATGAACAGCAACTGCTTAGGGAAGAAACCTGTGGCACATTTGCACTGGAAACATAAAAGACACTATGTAAATGTGAGTCATTATGATTCCCCTAAGCGCTGCTGGAGGCAACTCATCACCTTTATGTTTCTTCTTTTCTGCTACCTCCAGCCCTTAATTCAGCAAATAGCTCTAGGATGAAGAACAGCCAAAGTCTTTCACTTCACTGGGCACTGATATGCCTGGCTTAGGTAACACATCATTCACATTCCAGTAATTATGCAATTCCAAATCATTTTACCCTGTTTTGCATAACTTGGTCCAACTTCCTCATTGTTTCCAGCAATAAAACATTTATATGCCACTTTTCATGTGTTCAAAGTGCTTCTCTTTCACGATCTTATCCTAATCTTTACAATAATCCCGTAAGGTAAGGTAGAACTATTATCCCCATATTGTGGATGGGGATGGGGACGGGGTGGGGGGGATGAGGATGGCTTGCTAATGGGCCAAAGGAGATAGGAGCCATAAATTAGGGTTTCTTGGGAGATTTTAAAAAGTGAATTAGCACAACGGTAGGGAAGGGAGCATTCCTCTCATGCCTCTTCAGTTGTCTAAATTGCCCTTCCAAGGCTGACATTAACTCTGCAGGAGGGAAAAGGCAGGTACAAGTGATGTGCTGCTCTTTCCCCCCATGTAGAGCTAATTGCACCTATGATTTAAATCATAGATGAGGGCCAGGAGGAAATGGTTAAATGCCTACTTTTTCAGCCACCCTCCTTCAACACGGGTGCTATTAATATATGTTTAGAGCAAGATCCTTGCTGAGCACAGATGTTCCCATATGCAGACATTTTTATAAATGGCAATAAACAAAACTCTTCTTATACGTATTTATGCCTCTATACTGTCCTAGGTGCTAGGAAGCAGAGGTAATGAAACAGGATGGAGGATATGAGGCCCAGCCACGTCTTGGTTCTGGTGCACTATATGGCAAAAGTGAAAATGGCCTGGAAGAATTAGCAAACTGGCTAACAGTAAAAAGAAAAGTGATTTCCAAAGTAACGTAAAATTTCTCAGACTGGCTAGAAATGTACATAGAATTACAGCCAACCCAGAAAGGTTTTGAGGAAGACTGGAAACCTAGTATTCTATTGCTTTCTCGAGGGTTAGAATGAAAAATACATAGATCACATTAATTCTGTCAATACATTTTTCAGATGACAAGTGATTTAGCAAGATGATTTTTCCAAATGGGATTGGAATGAGATATGATGTTTCCTGGCATAGATATTCGGTGCACACTAACAGTATGATTACAAACGCATCCCCTTTGCAAGCATTAATCTTCAGCCCTGATTATTTATGATGGGCAATATCTTCTCCATCTTGGAAGGCTATTATTCTTTACAATACAGGAATCTTAAGCAAAAACGTCTTCTGTAAAGGGCAGTAGAATTTGTCAACAGGTTACAGATTTCTTTTGAGCAAAGGACTAAAGAGGCTGAAGGCAAGCTGAGACTAAAATGGAGGGAGGGAATACTTGGAGGTAAGAAAAAGTTTCAGTGCAATAGCTAAATACAGACTTCAGTAGTTGTCTCATTCTTCATCTGGACACCTAAATAAGAGCAGGCCACAGGCATGCTGTTGCCATGGAATGAGCACCACACATCTTTCAATGCAGCTGCAATTGCTGGCCATTAACACAGCATAACTCCGAGAATGCAATTTTTGTCTG